CCTGGCTGATTGGGACCCACACCCAGTTTCACACCTTGGCTCAGGCGATTAGAGGATCATCAGGGGGTCCTTTGTCCCTCTGTGGGGGGAAACTCCCACTAGGTTTATATCTGGGACTCTCCACCATTTGACCTTAGAACTGAAGAAGCTTCTCGGATGAGAGGTGAAACGTCTTCAAGCAACTTAAAGAAGTCCAGACGCTTTTCTTTGCAAGCTCCTTTGACTACGATGACCTGGATGACAGAACCTTCACAGACACTACAAATCGAAAGAACAGAGAAAAGCCCAACAATCATGACCCTATGAGCAAGCACTTTGGCAACAGTGGGAAGGAAAAACTCCCTTTTAACAGGAAGAAACCTGCAGAACCAGGCTCAGGGAGGGGCGGTCATCTGCTGCACCTGGTTGGGGATGAGGAATTTGTATGCAAACTCTTGGTCTTTGTCATCACTGTCATGGACATTGTTTGAACCAAGCCTTGAGGAACATGAATGTAAAAAAGTCTTATGTGTAATCCATAAAATGCTGTTGCTTTTAGCCTTTTTGCTGATGCTGATTATGCTGATGTTGGAATATTTTTCTGCCAGATTCTCTACTGATGAAGGACAGTGCTGGAATGAGTACAACTTCACCAAAGATCCCATCTTCTTTACTGGGCTTGCATCAGAGCCAGGAGCACGTTCTATGAATGTTAGTATCTGGGGCTACAGAGACTCTTACCTCAGCCAGTATTGGACCTCGTTTACCATTGACTTCAAAGAACTTCTTACTAGAACATGTGAGTGATGCGATTTAAACATATTGTCAGTAGGTTTTTATTTTAAATTAAACATGGTGTAATACTAACAAATTATTATTATTTTTTATTTTATTTTAAAGGTGGAGACGATGACTATGTGCAGTGGTTGGCCCACTCTGATGATATCAGTGATCCCAATGATGGTTGCTTGCTGGGCTACAAAGAGAAGTTCTTGCGTCTAAGGAAGGACTCTGTTTGCTGGAACGGGCGCGATTACATAATCAACACCCAGCCAACCCCGTGTTTATGCACCCTGGATGACTTCATGTGGTAAGACTTGGAGACGGTAATATGCTGAAGTATAAGCACCGCTAACTAACTGCAACTGAGTGTTGTTATTGATGATCAGACTGTTGTAGATATTTTGCTGGAGCTCATTCAAGATGTTGTCTTTGTAATGAATGGACTTTAAAAACAGAAATGATTTGAATTTTAGCATGAGGAAATGAGATCAAATTGCAGCGTAAAAACAAATTGGAATGGCTATTTCCACATTAACGAACTGGGGCTTCAAGGACTTATCAAATGTGGCATTGTGTGACTGTTTGCAGTGACTTTGGGTACTACCGTAAAGAGAACAGCTCGGAGTGTGTGGAGCAGCCGGACCTGAGAGACAAAGTGTTGGAGTTCTGTCTGCAGGGCAAAGAGGAGCAGTTGCAGACTAGTGGGTAAGGTTCCAGCTTCAACCTTCGTATCCAAGAGATCTCTGCTCCCCACTATTGTTAGTTTAATGTTAAACGGCGGTACTGGCAGCAATATTATCCTATAAACAGCGTCTTTCACCATCATTTTATTCAAAGCAGCATGCTGCCACTGAGCTTTGATCAGAGATATTCTTCTTGTTTTACAATATTTAAACAGATATGATTACACAAGTGTAACATGTGTTTTTTTTTTTCTTTTCTAAAAGAGAAAAAAAGTTTTTAGAATGAGGAAGTAATTGTCACACAGAGTAGTTAGAGGAAGCAGATAAGGGTGACAGTTTAGACTAACGCCATAAAGTAAGAGTGCATGAAAAAGTACATTTTTATTTAGGCTTGGTTGTCTCACTGCATACCTACCAATCTATAAAAGTGAGTAATTGTTGAATTTAACCCTTATGGACTGAGAGTGAGGCAATATATCATATCTCGTCTTATTTTAAAACTTTATCAAAAAATTAATGTGAAATATTAATAGATATATTAAAATATATAGATGCTTTTAAAATGATACCCTTGTAATGCATCCTCCTGGTGTTGCTTATCGAATAATCGGAGTATAAAAAGAATCTAAGTGAACCAAATTAGAAGAAGAAACGATGCTCTAAGAACCTCTGAATGTCAATTGTTTAGTTTCAGGATTCTGCTTATGTAACATAACTTCTTATCGTGTAGAATGAGTGCAAATACAGCCTGCTGGGAATAACTTTTAAAACTGGGTTATTGTGCAGTCTCTGTCAGTCAAAACCACAGCAATCATGCACTTTTGATAGGCGGTTCATGCAGTCATCACTGTGCTCTCGGTCCACAGCTACAGGAAAATCCCTGGGGATAAATGTGAAGGAGGAGAGGTGCATATGCGTAAAGAGATCGACCTCAGCAAGAGATGTGTGAGTGACCTAGTCGGCCCGGAACTTCTGGTCAGTATCTCTGCATACTAAGACTTATTGTTCATATTTATCCATGTAAGCATATTAGTTGTTTCAAATGACTGTTTAGGTTTCCAGTCATGGATTTAAAGGTAGTCTCGAGCTTGACAGGAGACGTTTCACTGTGTCAAGACACTTCACCCGTTGCCTACTGGTGGTGGTCAGAGGGCCCGGTGGCGCCAGTGTCCGGCAGCCTCGCCTCTGTCAGTGCGCCCCAGGGTGGCTGTGGCTACAATGTAGCTTGCCATCACCAGTGTGTGAATGGGTGGATGACTGGATATGTAAAGCGCTTTGGGGTCCTTAGGGACTAGTAAAGTGCTATATAAATACAGGCCATTTCATTCAGTCCTACAAACAAATGGTGGAGAGTCCCACATATTGAACCCCCAGTGATGATCGCCCCCTTTTTCCACATTTTGGCTAATGACATCACGACCCACATGATCAGTAGTGGGTCAAGTACCTTAAGCACCACCTCCAAAAAGGGAAGAGTTTGTGAAATGTCACAAGCCTAAAGAACTCCAATTGCCATTCCCCCCCCCAAGCTCCCAAGACTAGTGGTTCCATAGTGTAGTGGTTTACATAAATTTCCTCGATTCAAGACTGGGAGGAGACACAAATCCCTCTATGGGGTTTCACCAGGAAAAGAATCTGGTGTAAAAATGCCAAATCAAATATAGATGGAACTTTATTAATCCCTCGGGTAGGTTCCTGCAAGAAATCAGGGGCAATTTTAGCCCATTTTTGGGGGTGCTTTTGTAAAAATTTATTTATTTAGTGTTTTTTATGTATCTGTATTATATTATACAAACACATTAAAAGTGAATCTCTGTCCAAAAAATGCACTCAGTTTACTTTTTACTCACTATGAGCATCATTCATTATTCTCCCCCAGTAATTAAGGTTAGGATATGTATTTTTTTTTATTCCAATCCATTCTTCTTTTGCAGCATTTAAATAACCTTGATCAGATTTGATGGTTTTGTTACAGACTTTTCAAAAAAGTGTTTTGCTTTTCTTTCACAAATGTGGGGATTAAATTGTGTTAAAATGTACAAAACAGTGATGTCATGTTTTGAGACGAGGACCCAGGGACAGAGAGACTTGATGAATTTAAGAATCATATGATTTATCTTGCCTGGCTGGGCAGCTCTCTCTCTCAGCACCCCCAAAGCTCTAATCCTAGAATCGCCCCTGCGGGAAATCAGTTTTTTTTTTTTTCTTTTTCCTTAGATAGATATGCAGACCAGTCTGTAGTGACTCTTTATGAAGCAAAGGGAGCAGCTCCCCCCTCCCCCATTCATGTTCAAGTGTATGTCTTCTTATACTGCCATTTTCTTTTTTGTTTGCTCTTACTTTCACAGGTGGACAATAAGGCCTCCAAGTCTGTGCCCGTTGTGATAACAGTTGTCATAGTCCTGATTCTGAGTATTGCAGTAGGAGTAGTCTTTGTCAAGAAATATGTCTGCGGTGGCAGGTTAGTATACCTTGGCACACAGGATTTTACTCCAGCAGATAACCTTAAGCTGTCTACAGGAAAATATGTCGAGCATAACAAACTTTAAAATCTAGTTTTAAAAAATGCTCTTCATGTTTGCTTTGCATAGTTTTCAAATGGTTGTGATTAACCTGAGCAATGTGTGAATGTGCCCTGCAGGTTCTTGGTTCACAGGTACTCTGTGCTACAGCAGCATGTTGAGGCCAATGCTGCTGATGGGATAGACGAACCGCTGGAGACCAACCACACTCAAAATGGCAAAATAGAGTTTCATGATGACTCAGATGAGGTACAGTGGCTAACTTTTCTTCCCTTTTTGGAACATGGGTAATAAGAACGAGTAGTGGTCATTAAGAATATTAGCTACTTTTAATGGTGCTTTTGGGCAGCTTCATGGTCGTAGAAACGAGTTGTTCATTACCCGTTTTTCAGCGTCAACATAATAGAAAAATAATAATTTTAAATGTTTCAGCTTTTCAGAAAATTTTCAAATAGAATGCAAGTTTTGTAGGGGAGTATAGATAACTGGTTGCTGTTTAAAGGGAAAGGTAAATGTTTGCATATGTGCCTTTGTTTGCTTACGTGTTGTCTCTGACTTCCCTGTTACGCTCTTGTCTTCTCTTTGCACAGGATCTGCTTGAATAGCAGGCACAACCTGTCAAGCAACTGAGCAACAGGTTTCTTACAGGGCCCCGCGACCTGCCGCTGTTCCTGCCGCTCTTTTTGTCTCCAGATACTTTCCTTTTCACCTTTTAGTATAAACTTTGGCCTTGGCTACAGATGAAGAATCTGTCCTTCTGCTGTCATTGGTTCAGCCTGATGAATGTACAGAGGCTCTCTGAGACTAATGCCACAGTTGAGGAGCATTACAACGAAGGTCTTACTGTGTTTTGCTTCAGTTATTGATTCTGTTGAGTGAGTTTGAATCCCAAAGTTATTTATTTTTAGGAGATAAAGAAATTATGCCGTAATCTAAAGCTGGTTGTATAAATCCATCGCCACCGCATTACGGGTTCTCCCTCTCTATCACCTTGGAGTGCACCTGGAAATATTTCACACTTCTTTTCTCATGCACTTGTACATAAACCTGTTTTTCTTTGCCATTTTTTGATGTGGTATCAGTTTGGTAAGTTTTTAAAAAACAAAAAGGTTGTTGAATGGTTGGTAATTCTTTGAACACTTGACTCTAACCTAAGTTTAACAAACTATTTGTTTGTCAAAAACTGTCCTTCAATATTGAGGGCTTTATAAATTTGGGGTCTTAAGCCTGACCAAAATGTAAAATCTTGTATTTGGAATACCAGCGTCCAAATGTTTGGCACACGTCTTCTTTAAAGTAATAAGGAATGTGGAAATTTCCATGTCCATAGCATTTTATAGCAATAAAATTCTCAGTGCACATCAAAAAAAATTCTGTAGTAACATGTTGTTTTTAGGTTTGTTGGATGAATCGTTGTCGTTGTGCATTAACTGCAAGGGTAGTGAAGTATGTCTGTTTCAGGACAGAAATTGTTTAAAATGTTGTCTGCAGTTCGAATTGCCTCAAGCACAAGGCCTCCTGTAATGCTAAGAGTTTGTAGTATAACATTTTTCTTAAACCTGACCTGTTGTGATGAGACAAATGATCACTGTAGTCATATAATTGTCATGTTTGTAACAATTTCAGCAGTTTTGGTACTAATCAACTTTTGCAAATTATATAACAACTGACAGATTGCAGTTCAAAGATGTTCAGAAACAAATATAGTTTTAGAGTAAAAATTACAGAATTAAAGTTTTTTAAACCACACAAACATATAACCAAGTTAATCAACATTATTTGGTTCTGGAAATATAGCAATATGAAAACCAACAAATCTATATATGTTGTATAGCATAACTCCTGCTGTAACCATGGCTGGATAAGAGCCAAAGCCATGCCAAGACTGTTTTGTTTGGTGGGTGGATCTCTGCATTTGAAGCTGTAGTGAACTACTGTTTTGTTTTTAATCAGTCTTAACGACTCTGTCTTATGATGTTTGTTGTTTTGCACAATTATTTGTCTGTCTTGTTTTAAAGTTTAATTTATTGGTGAAAAGCTGGTTCAGAGTGCAGTAAATTGGATGTGGTTATACAAGTGCCTGGTGTGAGGACCTAATGTGTGGCCAGCATCTATTTACTGATTTTATTTTTGATTTTTGTTTTTATTTATATCATCTGATATGTAATCAGTTTCATCCTGTATGTCAGTGACATCTCTAAGTTGCACTTGTTGCCTAAGGATAATTTTTGAGCAGTAAATGTCTGTTTTATATGAGCTCCCACCGAACTGCATGTTAACTCTCAATAATACTTATATCTACAGCTGTGAAAAGAAAATAACCTGTAATAACTTGGTTATTCTTTTCTTTTTTTCTTTTTTTTTTCTATGTTGGTATGAGATTTAATACTGGCTACTTTGACAAGAGAGTGATCTTGAATAAAAGCAGAGTGGACACAGGGTTATCATGTAGCCGCTTTACACTGGAAGAGACCTGGCGAGTTCTTATTACGACCATTTATTGCTTTAGGTGAAGGTAACACACTTTTTCTTAAAATTTAAAACTGCTGTATAAATGAAGAAGTCATTGTGATGGTTCTGTACATATACAAGGTTACACCTTTTTATCTGATATGTTTCTCTTTTCTGTATATTTGAGACAATTTTCTTTGGGTTTGCCAATAAATTCATGTTCCTCTATTTGTGCTGCATGGTGGTTTGTCACTAACGGCAGTAATGCAAGAATGTGAGACTTACAATAATAATGGGTAACTGTCAACTGGGGATATTTTCACATGATTTATAAAAACCCAGTTCCAAAAAAAAAGTGCAGTGATTTGTACGTCGCATAAACCCATATTTTATTAAAATTATAAAAAATAAAATTTTTTTTTTTTTTTTTTTTTAGAAGACGAGGGGATGTTACACGATGGCACTCTCCTAACTTTTTGGACATTTGTTGCTACCATCAAATTCAAAATATTTTTCTTGTGATGGTACCCTGTGGTTCAGTTTAAATGTGATGTTTTGTGTCTTTGACTGTGGATGAAAAGTGGCTTTATGAGATTTGCAGATCACTGCAGACAGTTTTTGTTTACATTTTACAAAGCGTCCCAGTTTTAAGATTGTAAAGGGATAAGTTCAGAACTGTGGTTGTGTAACAACTGAAGTAATCATTCCTCTGGCATTGAATTTTTGATAGCCAGACTGCTTTGAGCTGATAAGAAAGCAACAAAAACCCAATAATCACTCATTACAACAAAGGTATGCAGGAGAGTATCTCTGAAGGCACAACAGTTTGGGCTGCTGATTGTGGTGAAAGGGTGTGGGAGATAATTTCTTGTCAGACTTGGGATCCCTAGAGTGTCAGACCCCATCTAACCTGAGTACTGTTGCTGACTGCATCCATCCATGTATGCACAAGTTAAACCCACCAGTAGGATACCAAAGCTCAAATTATCTCAGACTCATTCCTTGAACGTGACAGAGTTCACTGCACTCAAATGGCCTCCACAGTCACCATATGTCAAACCAATAGAGTACCTTTGGGATGTTGTGGAACAGGAATGTATGTATCATATTTTCAGCAATTGTATGACTTTATGATGTCATAATTCCTATCATGTCAATATGGACCAAAACCTTTGAGGAATATTTCCAGCACCTTGTTGAATCTGTGCCACTAATACTTAAAGCAGCTCTGAAGGCAGAAGGGGATCCAACCCAGTACTAGCAAGGTGCACCTAATAAAGTGGCTTGTGAGTGTATTTGTCTATGTCAATACAAATTGACATAGGGATAAACTGGGAAGTCAATACATGGGTGAAATGGGCATGAAATATCTGGACGAAAAAAAAAGTGCAAATATCTTTTGCACAAAGATTCAAAATAACTTTTATTTGGTAATTTGCACGACCCCAACATTGTACATGCTGAGCTAACAACACAACATGTTCTCAGATTCTATACAAAAAGTTTCCATCTGCATCAAAGAAATCATTCCCAACTTGGACTGCTGGAGAGGGCTTTTCCATTTTCACAAGCTCTTCAAGTTCTTCCTGTGTCAACACCTGTCCATCCCAACTCTCTTCATCCTCCTCTGTAAGGTCACTGTCATTAGTGCTGCGTTCTGTTGTTTCTGTCACTGTGGCATCTTCACTAATACCAGCTGCAATGTGTGTGGGCTGAACAGTAACAGGGACAGGACTCTTAGCTAGGGAACCTGAGCCATGACCTTGAATCACCGGAGTCTGATTAGCCACAGGGATCAAAGCACCTTCTGTGCTTCCAGGTGGGAGTATGGCTTGTGAGCTCCTTTCGGGCAGTTTCAACCTGTCCTGCTGTGTCCTAGCACCTGAAGGCAGCACCTGCTGGCTCATTTTAGCCATTACTTTTGCATTCTGCTTGGCTTTTCTTTCAGGAGAGGGGACGAATTTGCTTCTCAGGACTCTCAGGATTACATCATGACTGACAGAGAAGCCTTCAGCCAGACGCTCTACTGTCCACTCATCTGGCTGATTTTGCTTCAGATGTCTGAAAGTTGATTGAGATTTCATATGAGGCTTAATTTGAAACACTTCTTAGTTTACTGTCTGGACAAACTTAACACTCATTCTCACCTGATCTGCTCAATGGCATCCCAGGTTAACCTCCTCTCTGGAGCTCCTGATGGTGTCATCTGCCTCCTCAATATGTGATACTTCACAGTCTTCTGTTTTTTTCTTTCTTCCCTGAAACAAATCCCCAGAATACTTCATATATGTTGTCATAAAGACACCATATTTATTATTTAACATCGTTTTACACCGGAGAAATGTGTGAAAAGTCCTATTGAATCTTACTGAATTAAGGCTTGCAGTTTGTCCTCCACGTCCTCCAGTTCGAGTTCTCCATTAGATGTCTGATCGCTGTATCCTGGTCTGCTCGATCCTCTGTCTGCCTGCGCAGGGCCCTGTCCCATCCGTGCCTTGCTGGCCCCTCTGCTTGCAAATCGGCAGTTGCTAGCGCTCACTGAGGAAATCAGAGATGGAGCACCAAACTTGGAGAGGAGGGAGAGTATCTGCACAGACCTGGCCATGCCAATAAACGATGTGTCGTCCTTTTATTCCTTTCGTTTTTCTTTTCTTGTTTTTAGGGAGTCACTTAGGTGTCATGAAAACAAAAACTTATTTTACTATAAATTAAAATTAAACTTGCTGCTCACGCACTCATGCCACCACTCATAGAAGTACTTCCGCAAACACTGGGCTCATAGCATAAAATCGGCACTCTACTGCCAACTAGCGCTACGGAGGTAACATTATTACGTGTCCCTGTACTGAACAAAGGTGATTACCTGAACCATAACACTACTTAAATTGGACGCGTTGCAGGTTTAACGGTACTGATGCTGGATTAATTTCCACTTTTAACATGATCGAATACCAGTTAACATAAATAATACAAGTCAGGAGAAGTCTGATGAAATATAAAAACTCAAACTAAATGGCGATATCTGCCGAGGGGACAGGGACACTGCACGCTGCCTCGCCCCCCTGTTCAAGTGTCACGCAGCTGCGCACCTCTCTCCCAGTCGCCGTTGTTTCATTTGCGCCATTTTGTCCGCTCACTTTGTTGATTGGGCTTTAGCAAGCTGTACTGGAGCCAATCAGAGGGAAACCGGACAGCGAAGATACGGTAAGGAAGCCCCGATTGAAGGCATTGGTAGTTGTCAGCACGGATTGGTTTGTCATGGACCAACCAAATTACTAACCCTGCTTAATGCAAAAAACTCAAATTGCAGTTTGATTTCGACCGCTGCGTCCCAAGACCTACAAATAGCTTCATGTTTCTAGCGTTGGCCACCGCGAGGAAACATGATCCTCGCTTGGTCCACAAGCCTTAGCTAGCGTTAGCTCCTTCGCTAAAATATCGTTTCTCGAACAAAGAGCGGGTATAAAGCCACCGTTCGACCGTCAGCAAACGCTGCCAGGTACATTATAATGAGCTGTAATAAACAAGCTGCCCACAAGAAAATATACACGTTCGGAGTTTACGACACAAATGGCATCCTTATGCGCTTTCTAGAATTTACCACGCTTTTAGCTAGCGGACTGGCGCTAGCCGTGTTAGCTTCCCCACTAAAATACCCGCTAAATAAAATTCCCCTTTAAAGGAATCCAGCAGCTGACACAGCTGTGTCCTCCTGGGGGGATTATGTTTCAGCTGAAATTCGTAGACTTCACATTTGACACAGTGCGGCACAAGTCGGTGTGAGGAAGCAGTAGGTCCTATTTAAATATTGAGAACAATAAATTGAAAACACGTAGATATCGGTTAAAAAGACGGGGTTTTTTGCCGTCGAAAAAAATTATCATTTGTTTACGTATAAAATGCACTGTAAACCATAGAAATCCAATATTGGTTCATTTGTATGCTTTGTCTTTGCCTCATCAGGTTTTTCACGGTAAAAAGCCATGGAGCAGTACACCACTGCCACCACTACTACTGGAGAGCAGATTGTTGTTCAGACAGCCAATGGACAGATCCAGCAGCAGGTGAGCTTAGGGTTGACAATTTTATTCCTTTTTTAATTATTTATTTATTTATTTTAAATTGCCCTAACACCACATATGAACTAATATGTAGTAAGATTATGAATACCAGAGGGTCAAAATAAAATAAAGTTTTAGGGATTCCAGTTGGATCATTGGATCTCAGATCATGATATCATTTCTGATCAGCCCTCCTAATTTGCTCTAAAAGTCCAGAGATTACATAAGTCATGATACCTGTGATCGAAGTATTATTGAGAGTGATATCAACAATTTTTTAAGATCTACATTTTTTTTGAGAAATGTCACTTCCATCATGTTTTTTTTCACACTTTGATATCAGAGGCAATTTTTCAACATGGATATCTTTAACACTATTAAAGATAAAAGTGCAATTCTTTTCTAAACTCTCTTTTCATAAAACTGAACCATCGTCTGTAAATTGGGAGACAGAGATTGGCTAGATCAGATATGAGGAAAAATTAAAGATGGACCAATCCAATATTACGTATCGGTATCGGTCCGATACTGACGTAAATTACTGGATCGGATATCGGAGAGAAATAAAAAATGTAATCCGATCCATTAAATATCAAAAAAGCACCTCACAAAACTTGCGACATGGCGTAACTCGGCTCATAACCGTAGCACGTCGGAGCAGTGTGCTCACGTGATAGAGCGGCTGTGTGTATTTGTAGCCTCGCTACCAAACCGGCATTTCATCTCCGAGGAAGTTATCCCAGAGAGAAGTAAAGCAAGTGTGTAAGTTCATCTCTGAATGTTTGTAAAGCATTCCCGTTAAGCTTAACAACCGATATATGGAGCGACTGCCTCTTCTCTCTCCCTCCCTCTCCTGCTGCTACTTCAATCGTGAAACTGCTAATGATCAGCTGATCGGCTTTTCTGTCGCGAGTCCGTCTCTCTTGTTTGTTTTTGGTCCACTTTGCGCCAGAAAGAGGAAACCAGCGGCTGAACAACAGCAGCACGTTTAAGCTTGATAAGCTGTTGTTAGAATTTATTTAATATTACTTTCTACACCAGGATCTTTTTCTACGTAGCTGACGGCTGGTAACTGTGCAGGGGCGGATCTAGCAAAGTTTAGCCAGGGGGGCCGATAGGGCATGAACAGGGAAAAGGGGGCACAAAGACATACTTTTCTTTCTTATTCTCATTTAAAATGTCGAGCTTTTAATAAATAATTATCTGAATCTTACACCCAAAGTTTTAATCTGATGTAAAATGTATAGAAGTCCATTACTGTATATAGTAACTGTTAAGTCTAATATACCCTAGTAAGCTATAGTACTTTTTCCTTTGGGAAGGTACCATCTGTGCAGTCTGCAGTTCTGTTGAAGAAAGATGTTGAATCTATTTAATTATTCTTGAAAAATAATTTATTTCTGTGCATTTTTTTTCACACTGCATCAAATTAAAGTTGATTACGTCGATTAAGCATCATGAGGTGGGGGGTGGTTCCCTTTTTTATTTTTTTTTGCTGGGAGTTTGCAACCCTATTAGTTAGGTTGCTTAATATTTCTGCTAAGTACTCTTTAAAATACCAGAATAGGGAGGATGGAGTAGGTTTAAGTTTATTAGATTGATCAGTTTTGCTGAACTATGAAATATTTTGGGTGCATGTATTTTTTACATACAGGTATAACAGAATAGCTTTAGTGTTGTTGTTGTTTATTTAAACTTGAGTATGAACTTATACAAAATGCAGCAATATATTAAAAAACAGTTTTATTGATTAAAAAACACTATATCGGATTCATATCGGTATCGGCAGATATCCAAATTTATGATATCGGTATCGGACATAAAAAAGTGGTATCGTGCCATCTCTAGTAAAGACTAATAAAAAAAGTCACATTCTAAAAGACAACTAGTGACAATTTCTCAACGATATATAGCTGTATTTCACAATAATGCAAAATAACATGTATAATAATTTTTAACATGAAATCCTCAGTCACAAACATGAAGACTCCCACTAGGTTTAAATCTGGGACTCTCCACCATTTGACCTTAGAACTGAAGAAGCTTCTCGGATGAGAGGTGAAACGTCTTCAAGCAACTTAAAGGAGTCCAGACGCTTTTCTTTGCAAGCTCCTTTGACTACGATGACCTGGATGACAGAACCTTCACAGAGACACTACAATACGAAAGAACAGAGAAAAGCCTAACAATCATGTAACTCCCTATGAGCAAGCGCTTAGGTGACAGTGGGAAGGAAAAACTCCCTTTTAACAGGAAGAAACCTTTGACAAATCCAGGCTCAGGTAGGAGCGGTCATCTGCCACGACTGGTTGGGGATGAGGAATTTGTATGCAAACTCTTGGTCTTTGTCATCACTGTCATGGACATTGTTTGAACCAAGCCTTGAGGAACATGAATGTAAAAAAGTCTTATGTGTAATCCATAAAATGCTGTTGCTTTTAGCCTTTTTGCTGATGCTGATTATGCTGATGTTGGAATATTTTTCTGCCAGATTCTCTACTGATGAAGGACAGTGCTGGAATGAGTACAACTTCACCAAAGATCCCATCTTCTTTACTGGGCTTGCATCAGAGCCAGGAGCACGTTCTATGAATGTTAGTATCTGGGGCTACAGAGACTCTTACCTCAGCCAGTATTGGACCTCGTTTACCATTGACTTCAAAGAACTTCTTACTAGAACATGTGAGTGATGCGATTTAAACATATTGTCAGTAGGTTTTTATTTTAAATTAAACATGGTGTAATACTAACAAATTATTATTATTTTTTTATTTTATTTTAAAGGTGGAGACGATGACTATGTGCAGTGGTTGGCCCACTCTGATGATATCAGTGATCCCAATGATGGTTGCTTGCTGGGCTACAAAGAGAAGTTCTTGCGTCTAAGGAAGGACTCTGTTTGCTGGAACGGGCGCGATTACATAATCAACACCCAGCCAACCCCGTGTTTATGCACCCTGGATGACTTCATGTGGTAAGACTTGGAGACGGTAATATGCTGAAGTATAAGCACCGCTAACTAACTGCAACTGAGTGTTGTTATTGATGATCAGACTGTTGTAGATATTTTGCTGGAGCTCATTCAAGATGTTGTCTTTGTAATGAATGGACTTTAAAAACAGAAATGATTTGAATTTTAGCATGAGGAAATGAGATCAAATTGCAGCGTAAAAACAAATTGGAATGGCTATTTCCACATTAACGAACTGGGGCTTCAAGGACTTATCAAATGTGGCATTGTGTGACTGTTTGCAGTGACTTTGGGTACTACCGTAAAGAGAACAGCTCGGAGTGTGTGGAGCAGCCGGACCTGAGAGACAAAGTGTTGGAGTTCTGTCTGCAGGGCAAAGAGGAGCAGTTGCAGACTAGTGGGTAAGGTTCCAGCTTCAACCTTCGTATCCAAGAGATCTCTGCTCCCCACTATTGTTAGTTTAATGTTAAACGGCGGTACTGGCAGCAATATTATCCTATAAACAGCGTCTTTCACCATCATTTTATTCAAAGCAGCATGCTGCCACTGAGCTTTGATCAGAGATATTCTTCTTGTTTTACAATATTTAAACAGATATGATTACACAAGTGTAACATGTGTTTTTTTTTTTCTTTTCTAAAAGAGAAAAAAAGTTTTTAGAATGAGGAAGTAATTGTCACACAGAGTAGTTAGAGGAAGCAGATAAGGGTGACAGTTTAGACTAACGCCATAAAGTAAGAGTGCATGAAAAAGTACATTTTTATTTAGGCTTGGTTGTCTCACTGCATACCTACCAATCTATAAAAGTGAGTAATTGTTGAATTTAACCCTTATGGACTGAGAGTGAGGCAATATATCATATCTCGTCTTATTTTAAAACTTTATCAAAAAATTAATGTGAAATATTAATAGATATATTAAAATATATAGATGCTTTTAAAATGATACCCTTGTAATGCATCCTCCTGGTGTTGCTTATCGAATAATCGGAGTATAAAAAGAATCTAAGTGAACCAAATTAGAAGAAGAAACGATGCTCTAAGAACCTCTGAATGTCAATTGTTTAGTTTCAGGATTCTGCTTATGTAACATAACTTCTTATCGTGTAGAATGAGTGCAAATACAGCCTGCTGGGAATAACTTTTAAAACTGGGTTATTGTGCAGTCTCTGTCAGTCAAAACCACAGCAATCATGCACTTTTGATAGGCGGTTCATGCAGTCATCACTGTGCTCTCGGTCCACAGCTACAGGAAAATCCCTGGGGATAAATGTGAAGGAGGAGAGGTGCATATGCGTAAAGAGATCGACCTCAGCAAGAGATGTGTGAGTGACCTAGTCGGCCCGGAACTTCTGGTCAGTATCTCTGCATACTAAGACTTATTGTTCATATTTATCCATGTAAGCATATTAGTTGTTTCAAATGACTGTTTAGGTTTCCAGTCATGGATTTAAAGGTAGTCTCGAGCTTGACAGGAGACGTTTCACTGTGTCAAGACACTTCACCCGTTGCCTACTGGTGGTGGTCAGAGGGCCCGGTGGCGCCAGTGTCCGGCAGCCTCGCCTCTGTCAGTGCGCCCCAGGGTGGCTGTGGCTACAATGTAGCTTGCCATCACCAGTGTGTGAATGGGTGGATGACTGGATATGTAAAGCGCTTTGGGGTCCTTAGGGACTAGTAAAGTGCTATATAAATACAGGCCATTTCTTCAGTCCTACAAACAAATGGTGGAGAGTCCCACATATTGAACCCCCAGTGATGATCGCCCCCTTTTTCCACATTTTGGCTAATGACATCACGACCCACATGATCAGTAGTGGGTCAAGTACCTTAAGCACCACCTCCAAAAAGGGAAGAGTTTGTGAAATGTCACAAGCCTAAAGAACTCCAATTGCCATTCCCCCCCCCAAGCTCCCAAGACTAGTGGTTCCATAGTGTAGTGGTTTACATAAATTTCCTCGATTCAAGACTGGGAGGAGACACAAATCCCTCTATGGGGTTTCACCAGGAAAAGAATCTGGTGTAAAAATGCCAAATCAAATATAGATGGAACTTTATTAATCCCTCGGGTAGGTTCCTGCAAGAAATCAGGGGCAATTTTAGCCCATTTTTGGGGGTGCTTTTGTAAAAATTTATTTATTTATTTTTTTAATATGGATCTGTATTATATTATACATACACATTAAAAGTGAATCTCTGTCCAAAAAATGCACTCAGTTTACTTTTTACTCACTATGAGCATCATTCATTATTCTCCCAGTAATTAAGGTTAGGATATGTATTTTTATTTTATTTTATTCCAATCCATTCTTCTTTTGCAGCATTTAAATAACCTTGATCAGATTTGATGGTTTTGTTACAGACTTTTCAAAAAAGTGTTTTGCTTTTCTTTCACAAATGTGGGGATTAAATTGTGTTAAAATGTACAAAACAGTGATGTCATGTTTTGAGACGAGGACCCAGGGACAGAGAGACTTGATGAATTTAAGAATCATATGATTTATCTTGCCTGGCTGGGCAGCTCTCTCTCTCAGCACCCCCAAAGCTCTAATCCTAGAATCGCCCCTGCGGGAAATTCAGTTTTTTTTTTTCTTTTTTTTTTTTTTTTTCCTTAGATAGATATGCAGACCAGTCTGTAGTGACTCTTTATGAAGCAAAGGGAGCAGCTCCCCCCTCCCCCATTCATGTTCAAGTGTATGTCTTCTTATACTGCCATTTTCTTTTTTGTTTGCTCTTACTTTCACAGGTGGACAATAAGGCCTCCAAGTCTGTGCCCGTTGTGATAACAGTTGTCATAGTCCTGATTCTGAGTATTGCAGTAGGAGTAGTCTTTGTCAAGAAATATGTCTGCGGTGGCAGGTTAGTATACCTTGGCACACAGGATTTTACTCCAGCAGATAACCTTAAGCTGTCTACAGGAAAATATGTCGAGCATAACAAACTTTAAAATCTAGTTTTAAAAAATGCTCTTCATGTTTGCTTTGCATAGTTTTCAAATGGTTGTGATTAACCTGAGCAATGTGTGAATGTGCCCTGCAGGTTCTTGGTTCACAGGTACTCTGTGCTACAGCAGCATGTTGAGGCCAATGCTGCTGATGGGATAGACGAACCGCTGGAGACCAACCACACTCAAAATGGCAAAATAGAGTTTCATGATGACTCAGATGAGGTACAGTGGCTAACTTTTCTTCCCTTTTTGGAACATGGGTAATAATAACGAGTAGTGGTCATTAAGAATATTAGCTACTTTTAATGGTGCTTTTGGGCAGCTTCATGGTCGTAGAAACGGGTTGTTCATTACCCGTTTTTCAGTGTCAACATAATAGAAAAATAATAATTTTAAATGTTTCAGCTTTTCAGAAAATTTTCAAATAGAATGCAAGTTTTGTAGGGGAGTATAGATAACTGGTTGCTGTTTAAAGGGAAAGGTAAATGTTTGCATATGTGCCTTTGTTTGCTTACGTGTTGTCTCTGACTTCCCTGTTACGCTCTTGTCTTCTCTTTGCACAGGATCTGCTTGAATAGCAGGCACAACCTGTCAAGCAACTGAGCAACAGGTTTCTTACAGGGCCCCGCGACCTGCCGCTGTTCCTGCCGCTCTTTTTGTCTCCAGATACTTTCCTTTTCACCTTTTAGTATAAACTTTGGCCTTGGCTACAGATGAAGAATCTGTCCTTCTGCTGTCATTGGTTCAGCCTGATGAATGTACAGAGGCTCTCTGAGACTAATGCCACAGTTGAGGAGCATTACAACGAAGGTCTTACTGTGTTTTGCTTCAGTTATTGATTCTGTTGAGTGAGTTTGAATCCCAAAGTTATTTATTTTTAGGAGATAAAGAAATTATGCCGTAATCTAAAGCTGGTTGTATAAATCCATCGCCACCGCATTACGGGTTCTCCCTCTCTATCACCTTGGAGTGCACCTGGAAATGTTTCACACTTCTTTTCTCATGCACTTGTACATAAACCTGTTTTTCTTTGCCATTTTTTGATGTGGTATCAGTTTGGTAAGTGTTTAAAAAAACAAAACAAAAAGGTTGTTGAATGGTTGGTAATTCTTTTGGAACACTTGACTCTTAACCTAGTTTTAACAAACTATTTGTTTGTCAAAAACTGTCCTTCAATATTGAGGGCTTTATAAATTTGGGGTCTTAAGCCTGACCAAAATGTAAAATCTTGTATTTGGAATACCAGCGTCCAAATGTTTGGCACACGTCTTCTTTAAAGTAATAAGGAATGTGGAAATTTCCATGTCCATAGCATTTTATAGCAATAAAATTCTCCGTGCACATCAAAAAAAATTCTGTAGTAACATGTTGTTTTTAGGTTTGTTGGATGAATCGTTGTCGTTGTGCATTAACTGCAAGGGTAGTGAAGTATGTCTGTTTCAGGACAGAAATTGTTTAAAATGTTGTCTGCAGTTTGAATTGCCTCAAGCACAAGGCCTCCTGTAATGCTAAGAGTTTGTAGTATAACATTTTTCTTAAACCTGACCTGTTGTGATGAGACAAATGATCACTGTAGTCATATAATTGTCATGTTTGTAACAATTTCAGCAGTTTTGGTACTAATCAACTTTTGCAAATTATATAACAACTGACAGATTGCAGTTCAAAGATGTTCAGAAACAAATATAGTTTTAGAGTAAAAATTACAGAATTAAAGTTTTTTAAACCACACAAACATATAACCAAGTTAATCAACATTATTTGGTTCTGGAAATATAGCAATATGAAAACCAACAAATCTATATATGTTGTATAGCATAACTCCTGCTGTAACCATGGCTGGATAAGAGCCAAAGCCATGCCAAGACTGTTTTGTTTGGTGGGTGGATCTCTGCATTTGAAGCTGTAGTGAACTACTGTTTTGTTTTTAATCAGTCTTAACGACTCTGTCTTATGATGTTTGTTGTTTTGCACAATTATTTGTCTGTCTTGTTTTAAAGTTTAATTTATTGGTGAAAAGCTGGTTCAGAGTGCAGTAAATTGGATGTGGTTATACAAGTGCCTGGTGTGAGGACCTAATGTGTGGCCAGCATCTATTTACTGATTTTATTTTTGATTTTTGTTTTTATTTATATCATCTGATATGTAATCAGTTTCATCCTGTATGTCAGTGACATCTCTAAGTTGCACTTGTTGCCTAAGGATAATTTTTGAGCAGTAAATGTCTGTTTTATATGAGCTCCCACCGAACTGCATGTTAACTCTCAATAATACTTATATCTACAGCTGTGAAAAGAAAATGACCTGTAATAACTTGGTTATTCTTTTCTTTTTTCTTTTTTTTTTCTATGTTGGTATGAGATTTAATACTGGCTACTTTGACAAGAGAGTGATCTTGAATAAAAGCAGAGTGGACACAGGGTTATCATGTAGCCGCTTTACACTGGAAGAGACCTGGCGAGTTCTTATTACGACCATTTATTGCTTTAGGTGAAGGTAACACACTTTTTCTTAAAATTTAAAACTGCTGTATAAATGAAGAAGTCATTGTGATGGTTCTGTACATATACAAGGTTACACCTTTTTATCTGATATGTTTCTCTTTTCTGTATATTTGAGACAATTTTCTTTGGGTTTGCCAATAAATTCATGTTCCTCTATTTGTGCTGCATGGTGGTTTGTCACTAACGGCAGTAATGCAAGAATGTGAGACTTACAATAATAATGGGTAACTGTCAACTGGGGATATTTTCACATGATTTATAAAAACCCAGTTCCAAAAAAAAAGTGCAGTGATTTGTACGTCGCATAAACCCAGATTTTATTCACAGTAGAACAAAGAAAATGCTTTTTTTTTTTTTTTTTTAGAAGACGAGGGGATGTTACACGATGGCACTCTCCTAACTTTTTGGACATTTGTTGCTACCATCAAATTCAAAATATTTTTCTTGTGATGGTACCCTGTGGTTCAGTTTAAATGTGATGTTTTGTGTCTTTGACTATGGATGAAAAGTGGCTTTATGAGATTTGCAGATCACTGCAGACCGTTTTTGTTTACATTTTACAAAGCGTCCCAGTTTTAAGATTGTAAAGGGATAAGTTCAGAACTGTGGTTGTGTAACAACTGAAGTAATCATTCCTCTGGCATTGAATTTTTGATAGCCAGACTGCTTTGAGCTGATAAGAAAGCAACAAAAACCCAATAATCACTCATTACAACAAAGGTATGCAGGAGAGTATCTCTGAAGGCACAACAGTTTGGGCTGCTGATTGTGGTGAAAGGGTGTGGGAGATAATTTCTTGTCAGACTTGGGATCCCTAGAGTGTCAGACCCCATCTAACCTGAGTACTGTTGCTGACTGCATCCATCCATGTATGCACAAGTTAAACCCACCAGTAGGATACCAAAGCTCAAATTATCTCAGACTCATTCCTTGAACGTGACAGAGTTCACTGCACTCAAATGGCCTCCACAGTCACCATATGTCAAACCAATAGAGTACCTTTGGGATGTTGTGGAACAGGAATGTATGTATCATATTTTCAGCAATTGTATGACTTTATGATGTCATAATTCCTATCATGTCAATATGGACCAAAACCTTTGAGGAATATTTCCAGCACCTTGTTGAATCTGTGCCACTAATACTTAAAGCAGCTCTGAAGGCAGAAGGGGATCCAACCCAGTACTAGCAAGGTGCACCTAATAAAGTGGCTTGTGAGTGTATTTGTCTATGTCAATACAAATTGACATAGGGATAAACTGGGAAGTCAATACATGGGTGAAATGGGCATGAAATATCTGGACGAAAAAAAAAAAAGTGCAAATATCTTTTGCACAAAGATTCAAAATAACTTTTATTTGGTAATTTGCACGACCCCAACATTGTACATGCTGAGCTAACAACACAACATGTTCTCAGATTCTATACAAAAAGTTTCCATCTGCATCAAAGAAATCATTCCCAACTTGGACTGCTGGAGAGGGCTTTTCCATTTTCACAAGCTCTTCAAGTTCTTCCTGTGTCAACACCTGTCCATCCCAACTCTCTTCATCCTCCTCTGTAAGGTCACTGTCATTAGTGCTGCGTTCTGTTGTTTCTGTCACTGTGGCATCTTCACTAATACCAGCTGCAATGTGTGTGGGCTGAACAGTAACAGGGACAGGACTCTTAGCTAGGGAACCTGAGCCATGACCTTGAATCACCGGAGTCTGATTAGCCACAGGGATCAAAGCACCTTCTGTGCTTCCAGGTGGGAGTATGGCTTGTGAGCTCCTTTCGGGCAGTTTCAACCTGTCCTGCTGTGTCCTAGCACCTGAAGGCAGCACCTGCTGGCTCATTTTAGCCATTACTTTTGCATTCTGCTTGGCTTTTCTTTCAGGAGAGGGGACGAATTTGCTTCTCAGGACTCTCAGGATTACATCATGACTGACAGAGAAGCCTTCAGCCAGACGCTCTACTGTCCACTCATCTGGCTGATTTTGCTTCAGATGTCTGAAAGTTGATTGAGATTTCATATGAGGCTTAATTTGAAACACTTCTTAGTTTACTGTCTGGACAAACTTAACACTCATTCTCACCTGATCTGCTCAATGGCATCCCAGGTTAACCTCCTCTCTGGAGCTCCTGATGGTGTCATCTGCCTCCTCAATATGTGATACTTCACAGTCTTCTGTTTTTTTCTTTCTTCCCTGAAACAAATCCCCAGAATACTTCATATATGTTGTCATAAAGACACCATATTTATTATTTAACATCGTTTTACACTGGAGAAATGTGTGAAAAGTCCTATTGAATCTTACTGAATTAAGGCTTGCAGTTTGTCCTCCACGTCCTCCAGTTCGAGTTCTCCATTAGATGTCTGATCGCTGTATCCTGGTCTGCTCGATCCTCTGTCTGCCTGCGCAGGGCCCTGTCCCATCCGTGCCTTGCTGGCCCCTCTGCTTGCAAATCGGCAGTTGCTAGCGCTCACTGAGGAAATCAGAGATGGAGCACCAAACTTGGAGAGGAGGGAGAGTATCTGCACAGACCTGGCCATGCCAATAAACGATGTGTCGTCCTTTTATTCCTTTCGTTTTTCTTTTCTTGTTTTTAGGGAGTCACTTAGGTGTCATGAAAACAAAAACTTATTTTACTATAAATTAAAATTAACCTTGCTGCTCACGCACTCATGCCACCACTCATAGAAGTACTTCCGCAAACACTGGGCTCATAGCATAAAATCGGCACTCTACTGCCAACTAGCGCTACGGAGGTAACATTATTACGTGTCCCTGTACTGAACAAAGGTGATTACCTGAACCATAACACTACTTAAATTGGACGCGTTGCAGGTTTAACGGTACTGATGCTGGATTAATTTCCACTTTTAACATGATCGAATACCAGTTAACATAAATAATACAAGTCAGGAGAAGTCTGATGAAATATAAAAACTCAAACTAAATGGCGACATCTGCCGAGGGGACAGGGACACTGCACGCTGCCTCGCCCCCCTGTTCAAGTGTCACGCAGCTGCGCACCTCTCTCCCAGTCGCCGTTGTTTCATTTGCGCCATTTTGTCCGCTCACTTTGTTGATTGGGCTTTAGCAAGCTGTACTGGAGCCAATCAGAGGGAAACCGGACAGCGAAGATACGGTAAGGAAGCCCCGATTGAAGGCATTGGTAGTTGTCAGCACGGATTGGTTTGTCATGGACCAACCAAATTACTAACCCTGCTTAATGCAAAAAACTCAAATTGCAGTTTGATTTCGACCGCTGCGTCCCAAGACCTACAAATAGCTTCATGTTTCTAGCGTTGGCCACCGCGAGGAAACATGATCCTCGCTTGGTCCACAAGCCTTAGCTAGCGTTAGCTCCTTCGCTAAAATATCGTTTCTCGAACAAAGAGCGGGTATAAAGCCACCGTTCGACCGTCAGCAAACGCTGCCAGGTACATTATAATGAGCTGTAATAAACAAGCTGCCCACAAGAAAATATACACGTTCGGAGTTTACGACACAAATGGCATCCTTATGCGCTTTCTAGAATTTACCACGCTTTTAGCTAGCGGACTGGCGCTAGCCGTGTTAGCTTCCCCACTAAAATACCCGCTAAATAAAATTCCCCTTTAAAGGAATCCAGCAGCTGACACAGCTGTGTCCTCCTGGGGGGATTATGTTTCAGCTGAAATTCGTAGACTTCACATTTGACACAGTGCGGCACAAGTCGGTGTGAGGAAGCAGTAGGTCCTATTTAAATATTGAGAACAATAAATTGAAAACACGTAGATATCGGTTAAAAAGACGGGGTTTTTTGCCGTCGAAAAAAATTATCATTTGTTTACGTATAAAATGCACTGTAAACCATAGAAATCCAATATTGGTTCATTTGTATGCTTTGTCTTTGCCTCATCAGGTTTTTCACGGTAAAAAGCCATGGAGCAGTACACCACTGCCACCACTACTACTGGAGAGCAGATTGTTGTTCAGACAGCCAATGGACAGATCCAGCAGCAGGTGAGCTTAGGGTTGACAATTTTATTCCTTTTTTAATTATTTATTTATTTATTTTAAATTGCCCTAACACCACATATGAACTAATATGTAGTAAGATTATGAATACCAGAGGGTCAAAATAAAATAAAGTTTTAGGGATTCCAGTTGGATCATTGGATCTCAGATCATGATATCATTTCTGATCAGCCCTCCTAATTTGCTCTAAAAGTCCAGAGATTACATAAGTCATGATACCTGTGATCGAAGTATTATTGAGAGTGATATCAACAATTTTTTAAGATCTACATTTTTTTTGAGAAATGTCACTTCCATCATGTTTTTTTTCACACTTTGATATCAGAGGCAATTTTTCAACATGGATATCTTTAACACTATTAAAGATAAAAGTGCAATTCTTTTCTAAACTCTCTTTTCATAAAACTGAACCATCGTCTGTAAATTGGGAGACAGAGATTGGCTAGATCAGATATGAGGAAAAATTAAAGACCAATCCAATATTACGTATGGGTATCAGTCCAATACTGACGTAAATTACTGGATCGGATATCGGAGAGAAATAAAAAATGTAATCCGATCCATTAAATATCAAAAAAGCACCTCACAAAACTTGCGACATGGCGTAACTCTGCTCATAACCGTAGCACGTGGGAGCAGTATGCGTCATGTGATAGAGCGGCTGTGTGTATTTGAAGCCTCGCTACCAAACTGGCATTTCATCTCCGAGGAAGTTATCCCAGAGAGAAGTAAAGCAAGTGTGTAAGTTCATCTCTGAATGTTTGTAAAGCATTCCTGCGTTAAGCTTAACAACCGATATATGGAGCGACTGCCTCTTCTCTCTCCCTCCCTCTCCTGCTGCTACTTCAATCGTGAAACTGATTAATGATCAGCTGATCGGCTTTTCTGTCGCGAGTCCGTCTCTCTTGTTTGTTTTTGGCCCACTTTGCGCCAGAAAGAGGAAACCAGCGGCTGAACAACAGCAGCACGTTTAAGCTTGATAATCTGTTGTTAGAATTTATTTAATATTACTTTGTACACCAGGATCTTTTTCTATGTAGCTGACGGCTGGTAACTGTGCAGGGACGGATCTAGCAAAGTTATGCAGGGGGGCCAATAGGGCATGAACAGGGAAAAGGGGGCACAAAGACATACTTTTCTTTCTTA